ATTTAGGCATACCCAAGTTGAGAAATAAAATCTCCTATATTTTTCTTTAATTTAGAATTAGCGTCATAAGGGGTATTCACTTGTTTGAAGTCATAATACCCAAACTTCCTTAGAAGTTTCTTAGTATATTGTTCTTGGGATAATAAAATATTATCTCCCTTACTTATGATTCTAACTCCCAAAATTACAGTAGCTTCACTCATGTCTTTCATTTCAAATTTAGATCCCAGAAACAACTTAGTTCTAGAGACTATGTCATGCATGTACCAAATATTAACATGTCATCTATATATAAACATATAATGATACATTCACTACTTTCAGATTTAGAGTACATACATTTATCAATATCATTAGTTGAAATTTCATCACAAAGTAAAACACTATCAAATTTTTCATGCCACTATTTTTGTGTTTGTTTTAATCCATACAAAGATTTAAAAAGTTTCCACACTTTGTTCTCTTGAACAGGAACAATAAACCCTTTAGGTTGAGTCATATAAATTTTCTCCTCTAATTCATTGTTCAAAAAGGTTGTCTTAATATCTATTTGGTATATAACTAACTTATGATAATTGTTAGAGCTAACAAAACTCAAATAGAAGAAATCTTATTCATAGGGGCAAAGGTATCAAAATAATCAATGTTGGTTTTTGAGTAAAACCCTTTGCTATTAATATTGCCTTGTATCTATCTATGGATCCATCGGGATGATATTTTTTCTTAAAGATTCACTTACAATCAATGTATTTTGTTCCTTTAGGCAAATATACTAAAGTCAAGTACTAATTTTCTTAACTGAGTCAATTTCAGTCTTAATGTCCTTATCATAATGTGTTACATCAGAAGCACTAATAGCCTTTACAAAATTTGTTCGATCATTTTCAATTAGATAAGTGTAAAAATCATCTTCAAAGGAGGTTTCCTTTCTCTGTCTTTTACTTCTTCTCAAGCCCTTATCCATGTCATCACTATTAATATCTATAGGTTGTTCAAATGTCTTACTAACCTTTAAAAGAAAAATATGTTTAAAGAACTCAACATTTTTTGTCTTCACTATAGTATTATGTTCAATTACGTTAATTTTGAAGATAAAAAACCTATAAGTAGTACTATATTTCGCATAGCCTAAGAACATACAATCAGAAATTTTAAAGCCTATTTTTCTTTTTTTTAGGATCCAGTAACATTATCTTAGGTAAGCACCCCACACTCTTAGGTATTTAAGATTAAGTTGATAACCTCTTCATAACTCATAAAGAGTTTTACCAGTTTTCTTACATGGTATCCTATTTATAAAAAACATTTTGTAAGTAGAGCTTCTTCTCCCCAAAGGTTATCAGGTGTACTAGAACTAATAAACATAATATTTATCATTTCTTTAAGAGTTCTATTTTTTCTCTGCGCGACTCCATTAGACTCAAGTGAATATGGTGGGGTCACTTCGTGAACAATATCTTATTTAACACAATAATCATTAAATAATATATATTTACCACCTCTATCTAATTTAATCCTCGTAATTTTTTAGTTTAATTAATTTTTTACTTTCGATTTATGGGTTAAGAATATATCAAACACTTCATCTTTATGTTTGATTAATTATACTTTGGTGTATTTAAAGTAGTCATCTATAAATGTTACAAAATAATTTTTACCACCTCTCGATATCCTAAAAGTTCAATTTGACATTTTACAAATTGATAAGTTTTCTTGGTTATTTTAAATTTTACACATATATCACATTTCTTATTTTGTTTATCATGCATATTAATCCTAATCGTTGCAATTTCATAACATACGAATAATTCACATGTCCTAGTTTAACATGTCATGAATCAACAATATAAACAAAAGAACTTGATTCATTAACAACTTCAAAAATAGACCTTGATCACACTATCTCTTCCCCACAGACACATTATTTTTTTGTCATAACAATCTTATTAGATTCGAATGACACTTTAACCTCAATTTTTCCCAACAGTGTTATAGAGATTAGATTAACTTTGATTGATGACACATGTAACACATCACTCAAGGCCAGAGTCTTCCTAAGTATGAGCTTTAGAAGAACTTTTTCTGTCCTATGACAGGAGTTGTTTTGGAATCATCGAGATAAACATGTTTTTCTCTATCTCACACTAATGTAGGAGGTAAAAACACTTTTGTTTGCATATACGTGTCTGATAGTACTAGAGTTTATCACTCATTTGGTCACATTTGTAACAAGATTTATTTGGAAAACGACTACAACAATTGTATCTTCTTCGGCTAAATTTTTCTTAGGAAGATTATCGTTTCTTATTCTACGTCTGCACTGAGGTGCATGGTGAACTGGTTTCCACAAACAAAACAATTCCCCTTCTTTTTGAAGGTGAGGTTAGATTCACTTGGACAAGAATTTTTAAAACTATTTTTCTTCTTATAATCAAGTTTTTCTCATAACTTTTTGGTGCTAGTATGTCTTCTACCATATTTGTCTTAGTTGATAGTGTCTTAGCCCTTACAACAACATACTCCTTCCCGTTGGTGTCTTTTATGATGATGTACATGATAAGATCTGATAGTGACATTTGTTTATGTCTATGCTTCAACTGTTGTGTGTAGTCTGTCCAAGATTTTGGAAGCTTTCAATTAGAAGTTCTGAAATGAACTTATTAGGTAAGACTATATGTTCGACTTTAATATCTTCAAGCAGCTTATGGTACTCGTTGATATGTATCTTGATGTCCTTGTCTTCTAGCATCTACTAACAATAGTAATTTTTTATAACGAACCTTTATCTCACGACATATTCGGCAGTGTATTTGAGAATCAACGAATCCCATATATCTTTGACTTCCTTATAAGAACATTATACATCAAACAAATTATTAGATAATGCACTAAGCAAAGTATGTCAACATAACTTGTTCAATGTATCCAGTCTTCAATTTGTTTAGCAAGAGTACTTGAGTCAGATTTGGTAGTTGTAAGAGTGCAAGTCACTTCATACATGTGTAACAGAGTAGAAATGTGTTCCTGCCAGCGTCAAAAGTTGTATCCAGTGAAAACTTCAATTTTTGAAATATTCAGGAAAGGTTTTGCAAAGATAATTTGAGTTTTGAAACGTTGTTTGTCTTTTTCGGTGTCGAGTTGTTGTTGGTATCCATACTATCAGTCATAAGTCCTTAAGATTGTTGTAAATGCTGAAAAAAACACGAACAAACTTTGATTCCTAAAACAGTGTATAATCACTGTCCTTAAAGACTTATCCGCGATATGTTACGCAAGTCCCCCAAGATATAATAGGAACTTCCTAGAATTTTTCGAAGAGCTCATAACTAACAAGAAAAACTCTTAAAGAGTTAATGACTTAGGACCAGAGAAATGAGAAGGAAGAGAAAATGAGATGAGAGTGAGAGATTTGTTTTTCGAAGGAGGAAAAATATTCTATTTATAGGTGTGATAGATCTATGGATAAGTCCAGTATCTCATGACTTGAGAATGCCCACTTGCCTTGCCTAGAATCAAGAACCACATAATGGAGGAAGGTTGGAAGTATGCAACGTTAAAAAAAAAAAAATCACCTGGTGTGCAAGGGAAATCGAGTGAGACGGCACAATTCTTTTGTTATATTCTACTTTTTCAACAATCTCCCATATATTACAAAACACATTATAAAAAGATAAAAAAAAAAAAAAGAGAGTCTTGGATCTCATATAAAATGTAAAACATTAGAAAAAGCTTTTAATTTGTATTTTTTTAATGATAAACTTAACATACTAAGAACCATTTTAATTTACTTAAAAAACGATTTTTTTTTAAAAGATAAAAGATCAATCAAAATACAAGTGAATAGATAAAGGACTAAACGTATACTTTTGTTTTTCTAAATTATTTTCATAATGAAATAGACTATGTTAGTGGTACTTTTTTATACACAATTTGCAATTTTTTATACAGCTCAATGGTAGGCGCAAATCATGATTTCATTCTTCGCACTCCCCAGCGCAGTTCATTTACCAATTAAAACGTTTATATGAGGATTAACCGTAGGGAAAAGGGTAAGGAATTACAACATTAACTAAAAATGGTTCAAATTATAAGACCATGTTTAAAATTAGGAGTATTGAGTATTAATAAGACCAGTTGAGACATGTATGTTTTAACACCTGCCCAACCTGAACTTTTGTTATGATAAGTTTTTTTAGTCAAATTCAACATAAAAAGAGAAGACCAGGTCAACTTAATCTATAAAGTTAACATGGCAATCAAAACTTAATATATAGGTAATCATAAAATTAAACAATTATAGAACTAAAATTACTACTTTATAACATATATTTTAAATCAAATATTATTAACATAGATATAGATATAATATAATAAATATTCATTAAGTCAAGAAATAAAGAATGGAAACAAGAACATTTTTTTAAAGAATACAAGAGTAAGATAACTCAATATTATCAGAACTCATTCTTAAAATATATCACATCTAATTTTAAAAACTAAAACAAATCAAAATTAACCAACACAGGTTGGTGGAAGGCAATGTGCCAACACCTGTACTGAAAACCCCGCCATATCTGCATGCCATGCATTAAAATATTTGAATGAGACTTTCATGACAGGTCATATTATAATAGGAAAACATGATTGATTGTTCTGCCTACCTAACAGCAAAATCCATGAGGAAATCCTTTCATTTCAAGTAAGCAACCGAGGCAGAAAGGAGCTGTATGGTAGAAAAACCTTAGCTTCTAAAAACTAGGCAATGTATAGTTTAACACCAATCAAGGCACAAAGCTCAAAATAGACAAATTATGTAGCCAAAGTTGCAACGTGCTGAACAAAAAAACATCAACGAAAACCTAAGGCAAGTTAAACACACTAAGATAACAGAGTAAAGCCTAGACAGAGATTACACTTGGATTTTGAGAATTGACACTCTCTTTTGCCTAAACCTGCCACTACAATCAGATTTTGATGACTGGCTAAATTTCTGGACCCAACTAATAGATAAAAGGAATAAGCTTGAACTTAACTTTGCTTGCATAGTCCGTGTAACTCTGGCCAAAAGTCTCAACCATCAAAGCCTCTTCCATCTCTGCCTTCTGCTTATAATACAACAAGCATACTGCTACAATAAATAGCAGACTAAGAGGTGCTCGAAGCGCAATACAGTATGTTACAAACAAAAGCATTGTTGATGAATATATCGGATGACGGACCCAACGATAAGGTCCAAATTGAACCACAGCACTTGGCTCCACCACATTTTCTGAATACTTGGCAAGATACAATGTTGCATTATATTGCATTAGCAAGGTTGTAATGATTAAAGCCCAGATTCCAAGATTGCTCCACCCACCCGGAATGAGATGAAGCTCAGGCCCTTCAAATGCTGCAAGCCAATGACCAACCATGACTCCTGCACTGAACAATAGGCGAGACATCATCGGCGCATTAATGTCCCATTTTGGGTCATGAGGCCGAGCATAATAATCTCCATATAACCGCTTTCTAACGCTAACATTGAAGAAAAAGAAATAATGATACACAAAAAAGAAAACGAAAGGCCAGCCTTCAAGGTAGCCATTGAAATGACCAGGTGGAACAAGAGTGAGCCATGTAAAAACAGAGGTAACAATTGCCAATTGCTCAAATATGTTTGCCTCACCAAGCATATGTTTCCGAAAACAATATAACCCATAAACTGCAAGTGCTATGGCCACCAACCAAGGCCAGAACAACCAAGTCCAGCTAAAATACATCCAAAAGAAGGGACTGAAAAGCATATTCATAGTCCATTTTGTGGCTGCAGTTATGATGCATAATAGCCCAGACAACTTCACAACATTAATTGGAGTCAACTGCAGCAGAGTAGCTTTTATTGAATCAAATGATAGACTTCTGAAGAACTCTAGGACGGGATTTTGAGATTCAGTGCTGGCATTATTCGAAATTGAGCATCTGAGAGAAGGTAGCAAATCAGCCTTTTTTCTTGCCGGTTTAGGCAAAGAATTTCCATAAGTACAATTCAATTGAAAACCGATGCCCTTGGGTCGATTAGCAAGTACATCAGCACGAAAATGTTTGTTGAAAGGTGTCAGAGACACTTTGTTGCTCACAATAGAGAAACCAAAAGGGGAAGTTTTGGAGTGTGAAAGAACCTTTGCAGCTTCCATTATTGTTTGAGGGAAAAGAGTAATCACTTTCTGAAATAATTACTTAAATATCAAAAGCAGGGATGCAATGGAAGAAAGCAGTCCCATATCCTATGACAAAGTGAGTTACTCAGGAATCACAATGAGAGCAATAATAACCCGTTGGTGTGTGTGCATTGATCCAAAACACAGGCGAACTACAATGGCAGCCAACACACATAGTATCGTCAATATTCTCCTTCTGCAATTCATCCAGCAACCACAACAACATTAAAATCCAACACCATTCAATTACTAAACAGCAATATAAGCACGAAAACACATCACCAACAAACCACTATCAACATAAAAAGAAAAAATCTAGAAGCAGTTCTTTAGGTGTTTGGGTGATATTTCCAGTCAAAATTGTAGTTTCATCTTGTAAACCACGTAATAAAGGATTGTATTAAAAGTGAACACAGATTACTGAGAAAAAACGTCAATTCTAATTGGAAAACAACACCAAAAGTACTTAAAGAACTGTATCTAAGTTTTATCCAACATAAAATGCATTGTCCCTTCTCAGCTTCTGACCACAAACCCTCCTTTTGAGCCCGTCAAAAACAAACTAAACAAACAAGAATAATAATAAAAAAAAGAACTCCACCAATTTCAAATTTGTTATTGTCGACTCGACTCAAAAAATTGGAACCCCACAAGCCTACTCAAAGCCTTGACAATAAGGTGCATATAAAACATAAACCAAAAGCACAAATTTCAGCGCGTAACCCAGCTGGGCAAATAATCAAACAGATGGTGCGCTACATATGAAAAACTCCTCATGCAACGAAAGAGTCCAAAATTGAATCAGATAACGTTAAGAACGAAAGAAAGCGCAAAGGAATCATACCCAGTCAAAAATATCTGAAGTGGGGTGTTGGAGCAAGAATGTTGATTTGTAACGGATAATGGGTATGGAAGTTTTCAGCTATATACGCCACCGAGACGCTTATTGCCTCCACTTACCGCACGAATGGACCCCCTTTTAAACATCACTATTGTAAAGTATAAAAAAGTTTAATTTTTAGTATTTTCCTAACGTTAATTTTTTATTGTATATTTCATGTCAAATCTTTAGTATTTCATGTCAAATCTTAATTACTTTTTATTCTATTGTATATTTCATGTCAAATCTTTAGTATTTTCCTAACGTTAATTTTTTCTTAGCATTTTCATGGCGTAAAGAAAAAGTTTCTTACCGTCACATATGGAATATTATCGAATATATTTTAGGTTTCATGGTTCAAAAACAAATATTATCGGATATATTTTAAGTTATTTTGGACATGCTATTCCGTAATTATTAATCATATAATAAAATATTCCAGAATATCATATACTCAAATATTAATTTCGGATTTTTTAGAGTCCTACTTGTAGATATATTTTTTCGTAATAAATTCGGAACCTGTAATTTGAAAACATTTTCTGAAAAATTGTGAATATTTTGAAATTATAATGATAGGTACGGAAAGATTTTAATTTTTTTTAAACAAAAAAAAGGGGAAAAATGTGAGTGTTAACTGTGAAAAGTACAATGAAATTTGGAATTACGAGAGGGTTTGTTTCTGGATTTTGGATACTTCCACTCCTCCAGGGTGAAATTCAATCTCTTCTTCCTCTCGACTCAAAATCCCTATTATCCAACACGAAGGGTTTGTGGACCAAAACGCTTGCGTTCTCATTTCACTCACAATCTCTGGCTCAACCCTGCTCTTTCTTTTGGTCCTTAGGTCAGTGAATTTTGCTTTCCTGTTCATTTACAATATATAATGCGAAGAAGTTTGGATTTTGGAGATGAATTTATTTATCTACTTTTATGGTAATTAACAAATATAATGTTTTTTTTAACCTTTGCTCTTTTGGAAGTGCCAAGAATCAAATCATTATGAATGGGTTGTTATGGCATGCTCTTTGAGAACTGTAAAAGTTTAAACATGATTTTTTATTTTAAGATGAAGAGAGAGAAAAAAGTTATTGAATTGAGTGGTTTCTGTTTATATTTCGAAGCAAAATTGGGTAGGTGGCCAGGAAAATGATTCTCATCATATGTGGGAGTATTTACTTTGCAAATTTTCAATTAAGTGATTAAATGGTTGCTGGAGGTGAAGAAAAAAGGTTATTGGATTGAAGAGTTTTTATGTATTTCTTTGGAGCAACAATGAACAGGTTTTCTGAAAAACTGACTCTAGCATTAGGTGTAAGTTTTTACATTGCAAATTTAGGTTTTATTTTTATGTGATTATTATTTTCTTTAGACCAGGCAAAGATGATGCAGATTATTTCCTAGCCTAATTTCAGCACTATAGAAGATAGTTTCTCATAATTTAATAAAATTACTGTCATGGGTAAATTTTCAAAGGATCTTGCACTTTGTTAATTTAAGGTTCAGTAATCCTACATTAACATTTTTAGTGGCTTTATGTTGTGAAAGTTTTTAAAATTTAGTTTAATTTTTTTTCACTTTTTAGACTTTTATATTACTGTATTCCTTGATATTAAACATACCAACTTGATGCCTGTTCTTTATATGGAACAAATTTACACTTATAGAAACCTCTAACGTTAACACGTGAATTATTTTGAGTAGTTATCTTTCACATGAAAATTAAATTAATTTCATTTTATCCCTATTTCATCCATGAGAAATGTTATCCTAGTTTCAATTAAAGGTTTTCTAAACACATTGTTGCATTCTGTAGGTAGAGATAATGAAAGAAATTTCCATTATTACTTCTAAAGGATTAGCACGAAGCATGTTTTCCAGTCCTTTCAAGGAAAAGCATTGAAGTGTTCGTATCATCAGCTAAGCTATCATGGACGTTGAGGCATTAGATGAAGGGGAAAACAGTGATAGACCTGCTTCTGAAAATGTTGAAACTGAAAAAGGTGAGGAGGAACAAAATATGACCACAAACTTGGCTGAAAGAGAAGTAAATAACCAGGATGGTGATGCTTATAGGAAACCACTTGTGGGCATGCTGTTTGAATCTGAAGATGCTGCAAAATCATTTTATGATGCTTATTCAAGAGATGTAGGATTTAGCACACATGTTGGTCAATTCAGTCGTGCTAAGCCTGATGGTCCAATTATAACTTGGGACTTTGCTTGTTCCAGGGAAGTATTTAAAAGGAAGAACATAGTAAGTTGCAATGCAATGCTTAGGGTAGAGAGAAAAGATGCAAACTGGATAGTGACAAAATTTGTTGAGGACCATAACCATTCCCTTGCTTCCTCTAGAAAGGTGCAGCACCTTCAACCCAGTAGACACTCTGTAGGTGCTGCAAAGAATGTTACAGAGACATTTGATGCCCGTAATGAATCCTATGCTTCCTTAAATGGAAATCATTTAGAGCCCATTAGTTCAGTGAGGAATTCCTCTCCAGCAGAAAAATGTCATCCAATGAGAAACATTGGGTCTCTTACGTATGCAAGATCTTCTCAAAAGAGGAGCCTTGGAAGAGATGCTCAAAATCTTCTGAATTATTTTAAGAAGATGCAAGCAGAAAACCCTGGCTTCTATTATGCAATACAACTAGATGGTGAAAACCGCATGACCAATGTATTCTGGGCTGATGCAAGGTCAAGAGCAGCTTATAATTACTTTGGTGATGCTGTAACTTTTGATACGATGTATAGACCAAATCAATACCAAGTCCCATTTGCTCCATTTACAGGATTCAATCACCATGGCCAGATGGTTTTATTTGGTTGTTCATTACTTCTAGATGAATCCGAGTCTTCGTTTACATGGCTATTCAAGACGTGGCTATCTTCTATGAATGATCGACCACCTGCTTCAATAACCACAGACCAAGATAGAGCGATACAAGCAGCAGTTGCTTGTGTGTTTCCAGAAACTCGCCACTGTATTTGTAAGTGGCACATTTTAAGAGAAGGTCAAGAAAGATTGGCTCATATTTACCTTGCTCATCCTTCATTCTATGGGGATCTATATAGCTGTATCAATTTTTCTGAGACTACTGAAGATTTTGAATTAACATGGAATTCTCTTCTGGATAAATATGATCTACAGAAAAATGATTGGCTTCAAGCAGTCTATAATGCTCGCAAACAATGGGCCCCTGTTTACTTTCGGGATACTTTCTTTGCTGCTATTACTCTGAACCGTGGGGTTAACTCCTTTTTTGATGGCTATGTAAATCAACAGACAACCATACCTTTATTCTTTAGGCAGTATGAAAGATCCCTTGAACATTCATTAGAAAAAGAAATAGAAGCAGATTATGAGACTATTTGTAACACACCTGTACTGAAGACTCCATCACCAATGGAACAACAGGCAGCAAATATGTACACTAACAAGATATTTGCAAAATTTCAGGAGGAACTGGTGGAAACTTTCGCATATACTGCAAATAATGTTGATGACGATGGTGTGATCAGTAAATACAGGGTTGCAAAATATGAACATGATCACAAGGCATACATGGTTGCATTAAATATCTCTGAAATGAAGGCAAATTGCAGCTGTCAGATGTTTGAATACTCAGGCATTCTTTGTCGACATGTATTGACTGTTTTCACTGTGACAAATGTTCTTACCCTTCCACCACACTACATTTTGAAGCGATGGACAAGGAATGCAAAATCTGGTATTAGAACTGATGAAAACATAAGAGATCCACTTGACATAGAAAATCTCACTGTACGTTTTAATAGTTTATGTTGGGAGGCCATTAAGCTTGCTGAAGAAGGGGCAATTGCTGTTGAGACTTATAATGCAGCGATGAATGCTATGAGAGAGGGTGCTAAAACGGTAGGTATTATGCAGAAAACTATTGCAAAAATCACACATTCAAACACTCAGAGTAATGGAAGCTGTCAGGAAGACAATAGCAAGAGAAGCCCTTCATCAATTTCTGATGTCATCCCATCATTACGGCCTTGGCAAGATTCAGTGCCACATCACTTCAACCATAATGACCTTGGGCTTCCTGTTACTGATCTGAATCACCCTAGTATTGCTCCTGTTTCTATTTACCGGGATGGTGGCCCTCCAGATAACACTGTATTGATTTGAATCACCTTTGTAATTAGTAGTTTATTTCGTCCACTTATGTTGATCATCGCTTTAGTTGACTATCATTTATTTATACAGGTTGTCCTTACGTGTTTCAAGTCTATGACTTGGATCATCGAAAATAAGAATTCAAGCCAATCTAGTAAAATTGCAGTCATCAACATGAAGGTATGTATATAGGTGCTTTGAATGCCTAAGTTGTAACTTATGTTCTCTTCACATCTTTTATTTATTGAGAAACAGATATCTCAATATCCTTTTTCTCTGATACTCTGACTAATTTAATGTGGCTTCAATAATATGCTCTGTAGTTGCAAGAGTTCAGCCTCTTTCCAGATATACATTTCACATTCATGCTCTGTGCTTAAAATATTAACAATCTAGGTTATTTCACTTACATATTGTTTTCCATGTGTAGATAACAGGTACAACGTGCTAAAATATTCTTTCCTCCATGTTAATTATTTTTTTATCCCTCTTGTAGCTGCAAGATTATGGTAAGAGCCCTTTAGGGGAGACAGACGTGCAATTCAGGGTGACAAGGGTCACTTTGGAGCCTATGTTGAAGTCTATGACTTATATTAGTCAACAGTTAAATGCACCAGTCAATAGAGTTGCTATCATCAATCTGAGGGTATGTAAACCTGGATCATGATCATCTACTCTTATTGGATCCTAAACATTTCACAATCAACTACAAGGCTTTTGCTAAATAAGATGGTTACCATCTTTTGAAGTTTGAGAAGTTCCACTGATAATTTTCTTTTCTTTTTCATTTTGATCACACTAATAGTATGCTGAAGAGGTCTTCATTATTTGTTGCTGAACTGTTTAACTCTTCCATTGTAATTCTTTACCTATATTAGGTATTACCATGTATAAAGAATCTATTTGGAATGTTTTACTGTCAAAAGTGCTATGAGATAGGCTTGCTACCCTAAACACTTGAATTTATAGGATTTAGACCAATGAATTCTTTATTTCTGTAACATGTGCTCTTGTGTGAAAGCCTTTTAAACATAGAACCAAACACTTAATTACTCTACTAAACATCCCATACTGCTTGAAGTTGGACATAGGCACCTCATAATACCTAAGTCTTTATCAGAATCCAAATATCGTTTGTTTATAAATGTGTGTAATGACTTAAGCACAAGAGATAAACCCAACCCAAAAAGACTTGTCCATTTGGTGGGATAGTGTTATGGCTTAAGTACCAGATTAAGCGTTAAGCTTTTTATTCTACAAAATGTGGGACTCATAACGTTGTGATAAGAATCAACAAGCTAATGTATATTGCTAGATAAAGAAACCAATCACGAGCTCTTACCTAATAGCTTAAACCCTTAGGGGAGCTGTTTCTTGATATAATATAAGAGCCATTGGTTTGACTGGGATAAATATTGGAGAAACAGTGGTATGAGAAAGTGTTCTAGTCCAATGATGAGCGGTGAGATGGTGGAAGACAAGGCATGGTTTGTTTGATAGTTGTAACAAGTTCGAAGATACATGAAAAAAGTGGGCCAAGTCATCTGGCAATTGAGCTCCCCCAACCCAACAAGTGGTATAAGAGATTTTGACTAAAATTGGGTAAGAGTTCACTATGTTAGTGGTTTGAGATAGTCCAGCAGTGTTTTATATTATTCTTCGACGCTTTATATTGACCCTATTATTTCAATTCCACATTTCTTTGTACAAGCATGATAAGTATGCATTCTAAGAAAAAATATTTGGTGTGTTGTATCCAAGGTATTTTGACTAATGTTTACAGTTCTACATCTTCCAGCTCCAGGATACAAAGACAACTACTGGGCAAACAGAGGTGAAATTCCAAGTTTCTAGAGATACTCTAGGCTCCATGCTGAGATCTATGGCCTACATCTGGGAGCAGCTGTAGGAGTTGTAAGCATTACATTTCCAGCTCTTTGATTTTATCTTTTATTGGAGGTATAGGATTAAGTTATAATTTTTAAGCCCTTCATTTTTTTTCCAGTTATTCAACTTAAATTATAATAATAATAATGATTGTTACAATATGTTCTTATTATCAGGGTAAGAATTTTATTAGGTTTGACTTTTATTAGCTGTACTGCACTTGTATTTGATCAATAATAACGATATGAATTTGGATATCCCTATAATTGCAGGTTTACATTAGGGCTCAAGTTTATCCCTAAACAAGAATTGATAAATACACTCAATACTTGTTTAATCTAATATTGGGTGTACATGCCAAGGGCATAAAAGATTATCCTTAAACTCACGCCTTTTGTGGATGATATAGTTCTTGATTTAGAGGTTAATTCTAAACTCGAGCATTAGAGACCAAAACTGGAACCAAAAGATTTTTGCTTGATTAGAAGACACAAAATATAAGTTGGGTTGTTAAATGGAGAAACACATAAGGGGTTATTTGTGATAGCAAATCATCTACCAAGGTTAAAGAAAAGTTTGGTTGTAGTGCTGCACGATCAAACAATACTTTGGTAAGATAAGTGTTGCCATTCAAGAAAGGGTGGGACGAAATGAATAAGAGTAGATATTGACATGATACTCATGCAAGAGAAAAATGACAAAATAATTAAGGTAGTTTGTACGTATGTTTTGAAAATTGATCTGGTTATTGAATTACTGAAGACACCAGTTCAAGATTTCGATGGTTGAACCAATATTAATGAGATGATATAAATAATGTATAAAATTACATCGGAGAAATATAATATCATAACTTAATAATACTCAAAATAAAATATTTTATAAGTTTTAAACACTCAAAATACACATAAAACTCAAATACTTTAGGTTTAAGATTCAACAATATATACTAATATTCTTTAAAAATAGCAAGTTTATTGGAAAAACAAATGACAAATACTTTACATTTTTATTGAAGGAAAAAAATCAAAATAACATTTAATTATTAAATGCTAGTTTTGACAAATACTAGTTTTTAATCAATATTTCCGATTTTTGGACCAATTCAATTTGAGACTGGTTTTGTGGTTCTAGTGGACTACATACTAGACAGTTCATTGATTTTCCAATTGAAACGGTTCAGTTTTGACAATAGATGTTTGTCCAAGTGCAAATACTGTCATTGAAGGCAGCAATGAGGAGGAAATTTTACATTGTTTTAGTCTTATAAAAAGGTAGATAGAGATTATGAAAGACATTGGAGAATTATTTTAACAGATTTTTAGTGAATAGTATCCCTAAAATTTTGGTTTTTTATCAAGTCTAATCACATGTGATGTGATTCATATAGTCTAACACTTTTGTTGTTGTTCGTGTTTCAATATTAAACAGCTAGTTGCATGAGTTTCAAAGAAAAATTATCAGTTGCTTTTTTCTAACCTCTTTCTTTTGTCACAGTTCTTCTAAACTTTTTATGGCTGGAACAGGGATGGAAGTGCCTCACTGCGGTATAGTCTAACATCCAAATTCTGAAATATTGAGTGCATTCTTTCTTTCTGTTCTTTTCCACCTGAGATTATACATGATTTCAATTAAGGAAATTTATTTTGTACATGGATTTCTGAAGATCAAGAATAACGATTAGGAGCATTGTAGATATCTAACTTGTTTTTTGGTCTATGAGGGATAGTGATATGTAACAAATGATAATTGGGATATTCATTATGGAGGGGCAACAAATGAGACTTTGGATGAGTTAGTTGGTCAAGACCACGTGTTCAAAGATCCAAAAGGTTTGGAAATGAGAAAAGGCTTGCGACCCAAGAAAACTAACTCAACTGAAGAATTACTAATGGGAAAGTATAAAGTATATGGTTTTGGGAGAGAGAAGATATGAATGAATTGCTTTGGAACCTCTCCTTTTGGTTCATTGATCTGTTTATCACTGCCTCTTGTTCTGCTCTGTAACTTTATGTTGTATTATTGAGATTTTGAACCTTTTATCTTCATTGCTTGATATTTCCATATAACAATAATACTATTGCAGAGCATTATTACTACATCCCCATTTATATCTTTTGAGCTATATTGCAATTGGTGCTTTCATCTCTTAAAGGGCTGAGGCAGAGAATACTGGGCATGAAGGAACTCTCGACAAACATGAAGTAACTAATTGGTTTATGAAGAATCGGGCTAAAGAACACACAATACTCAAGGTTAGAATATGCTCTGGAATGCTGATGAAGATGAACTCAAATGAAGAATCAAACTCAGTTTATGTCATTATGGTGAAGAACAATCTCCCCATCTACAGTAATTGAACTCGTTGATTCATAGTTCATCTTCATCTATGAAGAATTATGATCATCAATAATTCTATTCAAAAATCCATGATTAATATAAATTTTAAACAATTAATTACATTAAAAACAAATTAAATAATTGTAATATATCACATTGATTTCTTTTTTCCTACCACAAATATTCCTAGTTTTATTAAATTATAAACTAACAACTTACTTAATACAGTTAAAGTCAAAATCAAACCTCATCCATTAGCTTTTTCACCCATTGCAAATCCAACTCCACATAACCGCTAAAATACAATAATTACAGGCATATGAAAATCTAGAATAATCTCAAACAAAATCAATGTATGCCAGCGATGATGAAAATTCAACAACCTCAAGCCCTTTCGCCTCTGATTCTGCGGGCGAGTTGAATATCTTTGGGCATGATAGTGACACGCTTGGCGTGAATGGCGCACAGATTAGTGTCTTCGAAAAGTCCAACCAAATAAGCCTCTGCGGCTTCCTGCAACGCGGACACGGCGCTGCTCTGAAACCGCAGATCGGTTTTGAAATCCTGTGCGATCTCGCGCACGAGACGTTGGAAGGGGAGCTTTCGGATCAGGAGCTCGGTGCTCTTCTGATACTTTCTGATCTCCCTCAACGCCACCGTGCCTGGGCGGAAGCGGTGAGGCTTCTTCACACCGCCGGTCGCCGGAGCTGACTTCCTGGCAGCCTTTGTGGCTAGCTGCTTCCTCGGAGCCTTGCCACCGGTGGACTTGCGCGCAGTTTGCTTAGTTCGTGCCATTGCTGCGTGTGAGTGCTTGACTCGCTAAGAAATGAATCACTCCGTAAGGGGGGGATTACAAACCTCGAGGGATTTGGGTGAGAATTTATAGGGTTTATGAAAGGCACAAAAATGACGCGGGAAAATTGAAGTTTGGGTGGCGGATAGGTTAAATCTTAACCGTCGGCTCATTGCAAATGTACGGTAGTGATTGTGATCCGTAGCTTAGCGAGTGAACCAATAAGAAGTTGAGAGAGACTCGAAAGTGGGCAGGGTTCGAAGTTTTTTACTATTATTATTATTTATTAATACAAGCATGTTAACTTATACGAATACGGCGGGCTATTTATATAAATACTCTGAGGTTGTTGATGTGACGAATTGAAACATGTTTATTTATTACATCTTTATTTGACTTCAACTGTTTTTTATAAAATCAATTTTATGACGACAATGTTTAAGACAAAACTAGATCAACTTGATTTATTTACTTAAAAAATAGTAATATTAATATTATATAATTAAATTGTAATTATTTTAAAATGAACTGCTACAGTTAAGATATATTTTATAAAATATAACACAATGTTATTACGTAAATAAAATGTTAGTTAGTCATGAACACCTTCTCTTGGAACATGAAACAACATAATCATTAGGTAATGAACAAGGTGCCAACATGTTAGTTGATTCAAATGAAAACTGAGCTCAGAATTTTTAAATAAATCACGACTTCAAGTATCGTGATCGAAAAATACAGTTAGTAGGAAAATTTATACTAAAAATGATCAATTATGCAAACTATTAACTAAAAAACAGGTAAATATTCGTAGCATACAAAAAATAAATAATAGGTTCAGCAATATGCTTACAACTGTCAATTCAGGGTAGGTGGATGAAAAATGATCGACTCAAGTAAAACTAGATTTGGTAAAAATATTGATGTGAATCTTGTTAGGCAAATTAATTTTGCCTCGATCCCAATTTAAATAGAAGTGATTAATTTTTTTTTTCCTTTTTGGGTTAGTTTACTTGCACTTGAAATATATTTTAACCAAAATCAATTTCGCAAACTAATGGAAACACAAGGTGATGGGAACATTCCCGCACAAAATTAAAAGGAAATTGTCCACCAAAAAATATATATTAAAAGGAAATTTAGTTCAACAAATATACAAAACAAAATCTAAATTGTAGTATAATGTAAAGTCTATCTCCCTCCTGATACAAATTTCCCGACAAATTCACCAAAGTCAGACTTGAGCCCAGTTAAATATCCATGTCTGTCAGTGGCCATCGCCAAAAATCACCTACAAACTCCGATAGTCTATAACAGTGACCTCGTCCTCCGGGGCATCCAGATCTTGATAACTGCTCCAAAGCAAAATAGTAATCATAAAAGGTCAATCACAGACAAAAATAACAACTTGATCATATCCAGTAAGGAAAGCAAAAAAAATAATATTTTTTCTAGCAAATGAACATTCGTTCCACAAACAAAGTTAAATAAACGCACTCTGTCGAAATATCAAATCATGAGCTAATTAGCTGACCACAAGTGATACTATGAATAGAAGATAAAAGGAACATAAAAATCACAGAAAGGAGGGAAGTAACAGAGCGGATATACCATAATAAAACATCTAAAAAAGGTTTATCAGAACATTAACCTTCGCATCCGACGAGGATCTGGTCTAAAGTTTGGAGGGACAGCAATTATTGGTGCTGCCCCACCAATATGAGGGCCACCCCGCATCTTTCTTCCAGAGGCATCATATGATGATGGTCCGCCTTGATCTCTTAACATCTGCATCGCAACTTCTGGGGGAGCAGGAACAAAGGGTCCCAAAGGCCTGTGGAGTTGTAAATTATATAATCATTTAATCCTACCAAGGCTTAACATATTTAAGTGCATTAGATTGTAAAGTGGAAGGCTGGGAAAAAAAACCTACCCAGCACCAGGAACAGGCATCAACACTGGTGGAGGTATATCTGAGGCAAATGGAGGCACACCTGGCCCTGCGTAAGAATCATACATAGTTTCATCACGGTTTCCCATCTCAAGTGACTGTCTTTCATTGGATGGGGAATTATCAGGTCTATCTCCGTTCATTCTGTCACTCCGATCATGGTCTCGCCTATTACCACGATCATCTCTCAATCGGCCCTCAAATCTTCGCCTTAAAGGCCTGTCCTTCTGAAATTTGGAAAAAATTAAAGAAACATAAGAATCTGAAACTCAGAACCCAAGTCATCTTAAAGGTTGATTCACTAGGATTTATGTCCATAGAAAATTTTGAAAACTCCACTATTTGACAAGCTATGAAAAACATATCCATAATGCATATATAATACATACATATAGTTTGTAATATATAACAATATACGCTTTTGTTTAATAATAATATTTTAAACTCCTTCACTTATTCTATATTTTTTCTTATTATTATCCATAAATTACGTTATTACTATAACTATTTAACTTATTATATCATAAGTTATTACTATATGCTTATGTGATTAAACAAAGTCTACCTGAGGTTGCTGCATTATGGGCGTCCCACCAGGAGCATCTGGACCACTGCAACAAAAGGCCACAGTAAGTGATATTTCACCAAAACTTGTGAAAGTAACCCCAAAACAAAAGAAGCCACTTTTGTTACTTACTTCATGTAATTTTGAAAATAGAGATCCTCTCGTACTTTGGTAGTCTGTTCCAGAACAAGCTCTGGGTGTTTGAGCTTTAGATGTTTGTGCACAAATTCCGCAGCATGAAAAAGCTTAGTGCAGCCCTTAGCCCCACATCCATATTTCCATCCATACTTTTCATCCCTAATTTTCCTAACATATGGATCCAATACTTCCATGGCTGCAGCATCTATCTTCTCCTTAGCAGTCATTACTTCCAAGGGATCCAGACCATTCAGTCTTCCTTGCCAAAATAAGTCAAGCTTCTTTTCCCAATCAGACCCTGATTTACCTATTTCTTCATGCCCTGTCCCTTCCGGTCTCACATGCCTAAAGCCCTTTGCCTCATTAGTCTCAAGCATACCATAATAATCTACACCATGGATCCGCCATAGATATGTAATAAGTGTATCTAGAAGCTCAACACCTTCTAAACCCTTTACAGATGTTAGGCCTCGTATTATTACTATGGGACCCACAGATCCACCGTGAGCCTTGTCATCATTTTTATTGTGATCGCTGCTGGTGCATAGAATATTGTCTTCAATCCCTTTTTCTGTATCAAGCTTTCGGACAAGGACCTGAGCCTGTTGAACATCTGCCTGTATCCTTCTTGGTTCAGAACTGATTGGGTGAGCCTTTGGAGCAGCTGAGAAATCATTATCTTTGTTGGATCCCCTACCATGCCTTCTTCTTTTACCCCCAGTGTCTGCTTCCTCTTCTGAATTTGGCTCACTAACTTGGCCTGATTTACTGGATATAGAGGCATTCAAACCAGGATTTCTGCATTTAATGTGATACAATATATGTATCATTGGTTGATATTGATACGAATAGTGAAAGCATGAAGATGAAGGGGAGAGGGAAAGACAAACATATCAGAGCAAGAGAAGGAGAGAGGACAAGGACATACAGTTCTAGTGTTCCACTCTGCAAATCAAGCAAAAAATCCTTTGCTAGCTGTCGAGCATTTTCATTCCTCCTATAAGATCATGAACCAGACAATTTTCCTTACAATAGATGTCTTGATGAAAAAATTAATCCACCAGACTATCTATTAATCATCCAACAATAAAAAGCCAAAAACATGACCCACTAATATTAACAGGACAATATATACAATGCGTAATTAGGCTGAAGTCTAATAAAAGAAACTCACCTTTCAATGACTGTAAGCAAGTTGGTTGGATGATATTTATCTTTCAACCTGAAGTAAACGAAATAATGGAAAGAACATTATATAGCTTGAACTTGAGAAAATATGGTCACTTATGCTTTACATAGTAAACATTTCAAAGATTGAAACATAATTTCAAGGAGGAAGAAAATATATACCACTCTTCATCCTTATGAGCATTAAAATAAGCTCGTTTTTGGGTTGAGATATACTCTGATTTGTATTCTTGATACCTAGAAAATCAATTGGTCAAAAGTCATCTGTCAATAAGCATCCCAAATATTATAACACTGAAAATGACACAAAAAGATATTGTTCTCCAGGACTTACCTACGCTCTGCTTCAGCTGGTAGTATATCATCCTCAAGCTCCTGAATGAACTGCTTATAGGACATCAACCCCTCTCTGAAATGACTCACAAACATCTTAAAGTTACATGTTTTTCAGAAAAATCTATTGTCAGATAAAATAAAGACAGCATAGAATCATTAGACAAGCAATGATATAATCACGTGACACTTTCACTATTTACTATGCAAGCTCATAGTTGAAGAAACGTGGGTATAGAAATATTACAGGAGTGGATACGCAGTGCCTAATAAGTGGAAAGAAAAAATAGTTTGGGAAAAAACAGATCAGAAAAACAATGCAAGACATGAATAATGTGCTGAGTACTCCAAGATTTAAGGATCAGGAAGTCTCAAATTAAGAAATATGGACAAGAATTGTCGATTGCTACAGCTGAATAGTCAATTATGGTTTTTTATTCTATTTTCACTATATATATATATATATATATATATATATACACACACACACACACACATACATACACACACACACACACACATACATACACACACACACACATATCACCCTTTCAAATGTGATGTTAACATTTTCCCACACCATTTGTAAATCCCTTAACAGAACTGTTATCGAAAGCCTGAGTTTCATCTCCTGAGAGGTTATCATTGGAGTATATTGGTATTTCTTCTTTCAAATCCAAGCATCTTCACACCAATCAAATTCCTTATTGTACAAGAACTGCTATAAATGGCAGGTAATATTTATTAAGTATATTTGGATAACAAAAATTACAAAACTGACCTTTGGGCACCACCAATTGGCATGTCTCCATAACCACGATTGGATTCTACATCTGCAAAAGTTGAAAGGAAAGTACCATGGTCAAAAAAATAGATGGTGAAGCCCATTTTGGTTGATTATGGATCATATTCATATGTACGTCTTTAAATAAAACAGATTATAATCTGAGAAGGTTTCAGTATTACTTTTGGAAATAATTTGAGGAGGATAAGATCACTTGCTCAACGAAAAAAAGCCAATTCAACATACACCATAGGTAACAGCATGCAATAAAGATATCATGAAAGCTAACAATAAGAAAATCATAAATTATTATCCAAATGATTTTTTTTCATTGTAAAGTTAGGAGATAACGCGAATAATATACTTCAAAAAAATTTAAAGCTAATGCTTAAGATAAAATGGGATTTATGGGACATAGGAAAATTGCTAGTACTTATTAGAAACTTCCACATACCAGATATGCCATTTTGATACCCCCCTCCAGAACGTGGTCCAAACCTACCATAGGACTTCTCATCTGCATAACCACCTCTTCCACCCATTCCTCTTTCATAACCGCCATAATAATCATATCCATGTCTGCCATAAAAAATAAAAAAATAAAAACGTAGGTAGGATAATAAAATGGAGGAACCAGAAGTGAAGGAAGGAACTTTAGTAAAAAATGAGACAAAAACATTTTAAGCATGTTACCACAGATTTTCCACTATAACATGAGAAGTATAGAAGCATGTGAAAGAAAGTAATGCCAGGAAACCATATACAACACTAAATCACTTAAAGTTTAACAAATCATCCTCAACTACTCATGTCACAATAGTGTAAATTATATTATTCAACAATGGACATACAAGAAATTACAACAAATAGTATAACCTAAGCTTCACTAGCATTATTACACCAATACTATACTACATTGCAGTGCACATCAGAACTATAGAAGATACACCAATACTTCTATCTCAATAACTACAATTTATATTATATCGTTCATGGAAGAAACGCCCAATTCCAATAAAGCCGGCATTCCAGCAAAACAACATTAACCAAAAAAAAAAATCAGCTTAACATAATCTTTATCTTCAAAAGAGATACTACACCCTGTTAGAAACAAAAATTTCAACTTCATAAAAGAAAAATGTTAAAAAGGCGCAAGAAAGTTTTGCAAGAAACACGAAAATATAAATTTCGCCCCTTCAAACATTCAAGGTTAAAAAAAAAGTTGACGACCTCAATTTCAGCCACAACACCAAGGTTTTTGGAGTCTTTGCAACCACAATTCCCCACAATATGAACGATAGTAACAAAAGGATGATCGCAACCACACTTCAAAACCTTGTTCACATCAATCATACACCTGTCATCTCATTACTTAAAAACTGGTTCGTAAAAGTTTAAACAAAAAGTTATTTGCACCAAATAACAGTTAACACAAGGAGCGATAGACTCATCGCTAGAGTCTTCTGGAATCATCAAATTCTAAAAGTACAGCAAGTAGCCAAAGCAAGATTAATCAAATATAATTCAATTCTCGCAATCACGCAATGAGAACAAAATCTACCTATCATCAGGCCCATAGGCGCCGCGAGGACTCCCCCGCCGCGAACGCTTATAAGGCGGAGGCGACCGTCGCGGCGCCGGAGAATACCGCCGGTCGCGGTGGGGAGGGCTCGGGCTACGGCGGCGCTTGAAATCCCTGTCCCTGTCCCGGTCTCTGTCTCGCGTCGGCGACGCGTTGCGGTCGTAGTAATCGCCGCGGCGGTTGGGAGGGCGATCGAAATCCCTGTCGTCTCTGCGGTCCCTTCGCCGGGGCGGGTAATGCGGCGGAGGGAGCGGGGGAGGGAGGTCGTCCGCGACCGGGGAAGGCTGAGACGGAGGCGGAGGTGGCGGAGGAGCAGGGGGAGCGGATGAGGAAGGGGATTTGTCAAGGGATTCCGGAGGCACGTTCATGACCTCGGCCATTGGAATTTTGGAAAACCCTAAAATTAGTGAAAGGGAGAAAGGAAGTGAGAGAGAAAAAAAGAGAGTGAGGGATTCGATTTGTGTGAGGAAAATGGGGTTTGTATTGGAAGGACACGATGATGATTATCACTTGTGCGTTTTGTTATTTCACAGCGTTTTAGCTTCTCCAATCTTTATTCCTTCACACACACTGATAATGTTTCTTTAAACGAGTGAGCCTTGCCACGAATCTTCTAAGTTATTAAAAATTAAAAATATATAAAGTATAAATATTTTAAAATTTTAATATTAACGTAAATAAATTAGTTAATATTAATTTTCATTGTTAAATATTAATTAAATTAGTTAATAAATATTAAATTTGAGAATTTTATTTTTGACCCTATAAATCAGCACTATATATGAAATTCATGATGTTTGAGAAATGCAAGAAAAACCTCTAGAATAAAAATATAATCTATTTGATATATAATGAAATACAGAAGGTGATGTTTTTTCCTACAGAAAAAGAAAATAGCATAGACAAATGAAAATTTGGAGAACTAGGATTGTGGTGGGCGAAGAGAAGAGAGAAGAAGGTCTTGGAGAGAGCTATCTATCTGCATGGCAGCTTTGAATTCATCGAAGGTGACTTTTCCATCACTGTTGGCATCCATTCTGTCAAATATCTCATCCAGTTTCCCAGGTTCAGTGATATCAGCTGGCAGACACTTTTCTGGTAAAGCCTGTTTTTCACTCAATATGTTAGTGTCAGAATAATTAACTTAATCATGTTTTCCCTTTATATAATGTTAAACATTTTATTTTTATTAAAAATTTCATTTCTACTACCAAAAATCAAGATTCTTGAATTATTTGTTTTATTAAATCCCAGAATCTACAATTCATAATCTTATGAACACAATTCATAAAAAAGAAAGAACATTACTCTGAACATGGATGCTACTTCTTCCTTGGTGATGCACCCTGATCGATCTGTGTCATACATCTGTGATTAAAGAAAAAACATTTTTTATTGTGCTTGTTTTGTGTATATAATATATATATATATATATATATATATATATATATATATAAGCACTGTGAAAAGCCAAACCTGGAAGCACAAACGGAGAGCATCATCTCCTTTGGAGTTTCTGAAGCTGGAAAACCCACATAGTATCTCTCTCATGTCAACTGTTCCATCACGGTTGTTGTCAAACAAGTCAAATATTCGTGGTGCTAGAGGGATCAGTGATGCCATATTCATTGCTTTCAGCACCTCCTCAAACTCAGATAGAGTGGCATTGTCTCCACTCACACATCTGTTAATACCCAACAACATTTTTATTTTCAGCCTAAAACTGTCGAAAACTAGTACTGCATAGAAATGTTTGGCCACTGAAATCAAACATGTTCTGAATAGTGTGTTTACCAAAATTGATTCTGGCCCTGAAATCATTGATGAAAAAATAGAAGTAACTATTTGTTGTTTTGATCTTACTTATAAGTACTTACATTTTCTTGAAATTTATCCTGAGCTTTTCAATTTCCTCTTCTGTGAGATCATGAGTTCCCACCAAGGATTTCAGCTTTTTGGTTCTGAGGAAGATTGTGGAGCTCCAAACACTAGCAATTGCAGCTGCACGCAGTTTGCGTCTTGCGTTGAAACTCTGCAATCTAGAGACAATCTCAGGGTCCATTGCATCATCCTTGGCTTTGTCACCTACCACCCATGGATGATTCAGAAGCTGTTCCAACATATACAATGTAAGTCTGAGGGGGTTCTTGTTCTCTTTAACAATTTTAATAAAATATCCCAAACTTTTTGTGCTTCAAAGAAGCAAAATGTTGAACAAATACTAACATGATTAGTAGTTATTAGTTTTTAGGAGTGTTAGCAGCACATTCCTAAAATGTGTTTAAAAGAGCGAGTTTGTGTTACTAACACTCTTTTTTTTTTTTTTTTCTCAAAAATTAATTTAGATGCGTAACTTCAGACTTTTGTGATATTTCTTTACAATTCATGACTTCTTTCATAGTAGATATTCTTCATTTCATGTACCAAGAAAAGAAAAGGAAGAAAATATGGCTCTATTGAGATTAATGAAGTTGGTAAGAGAGTACAATACATCTTGAGCATTAGGTCTCCTGCTAGGATCTACAGTCAGAAGATCTGAAATCAGTTGCTTTGCTGATTGAGTAATGCCCTTCCATGTCTTCTCATAGAAACTGAAATTCCCCTGTTTCAAAGTATTTGATTTGGTAAGAAGAACCTCATAGAATGGTCACTATACCTTTTATTTTAATAATTGTTTCTTCTAAGAATCAAAAGGTAATGATAGTCTTGCAGGTAATCATGCATACAAGACACTATATCTTTACCCTGGCGTTGGATCTGGCACAATGCAAAAGCTCAGTGGAGTGCAAATTATGTATTTTTATCTATTCACCACTTTTATGGTGAAAGTGGTAGTTACTAAGACAAAACACATGAAAGTAGAGCCAAAATGGATTATGTATTTAAGTAAAAGTCACATTTTGATACATTGCTAATTTTTTTCTCTGCATATGTTACTCTCTCTTTGGAGGAATCACTCATTAAATATATTAGAGATATATGTTACTTACATTCATTATCATTTGTTGTTTCTGGCGATTGGACTGAGCTATGAAAGGTGGATACCTGCAAAATAAAAAATATAACAATAACATGAGGATACTATTGAGTTAATTCATTATTCAAGAGAAATAGAATAAGCTCCCTCATCTAGTGCTACGCCTAGAAGGAAAGATTACAGTGAGGCAAAGAGCAATTTATCAACATCATGCATCTTTGAAAACTCATTGCATTGAGGGAAAACTATAAGTACTTACTTCTTACTTCTTAGGAAACATGAAAAAATCACATTGGCATGTGAGACCAAACGTGCTAATAATGTGCTAGATGCCAAATTGAGTGGTAATGTTAATTTCTATGAAAATATCATTCTTAATTTTTGACCTCCAATTATAAGGTGATACCATATTTTATTTCAATGTCTATAAGTCATTGAAGACTTTCCCTAATTGGCATCCATATGTGCTGCAATTGCACATGGGTAGATGGGGACAGACACAATATGAACATGTGAAAGAACCAAAAGTCAACATACCCAGAGAGTAAGATATATAGAATCACCCCCAGAGACCACATGTCACTCTTGGTAGTTATCTTCCCTTGAGAAAGAGCCTCTGGTGAAACATAATCAATGGATCCAAACAAACCAACAACTGGGTCAGTGAATTCTTCAACAGAACTCAACCCAAAGTCCATTATCTTAAGAGGAGAGTCCCTCCTCTCATCCAAGAAAAGACAATTCTCAGGCTTCAAGTCCCTGTGTACAATGTTAACTCTATGAAGAGCCTCTAATCCTGAAGCTATCTGCCGAATCACACCTGCAGCTTCAGTCTCTGAGTACCTATCATTGATGCATATATGTCATTTATATATCAGATACCATGCATATTCTATTCAATAATACGATTACTCTAGAAAAATACAAAACACAATACGTGTATGATTAATCATTATAAGTATATTATTGTAATTCTGCAAATTATAAACAATGTTACTGTAAATCAATTTCTGTTCTAGACAACTAGGAATATTGTTAATCTAATACCTTTCTGCAGATCATCCATAAAGAGTAGACATTTCAATTTTATTCTTCGAGAAACAATGTTTATGAGGTTCTATATTATACACATTTCTATATTATGCTTTCTGCAGATCTCCATAAACTTCACATATAAGAGTGACGTATCCAAAAGTATAGGTATCATATACATATAACAAATGAAAGTATAGGTACTTCTGAGGTACCTATCTTGTGCCACAATCCTATCAAACAATTCCCCACCAGAACACAGCTCCAACACAAGGTGCACTCCATTTGAGTCCTCATACACATCATAGAGGTCAATAACATTGGGGTGTGGTGAAACGTTTTCCACTATTCTCCTCATCACAAGAATCTCATTGGTGAGCAAGGCATCTGAGACTGAGACTTGTCTCCATGTGGGGAACCCCATCATAGCTGCTGCGCTCTTCTCTTCACCCTTTGGTTTTGGAAACCCAGAAGGATTGGTGGAGTTTGAGGCAGTGCCTAACCTTCTCAGGGTTTTGATGGCTACTTGGTTATTGGTGTCACTGCTTGATTTTCTTATGCCTTTTCTGACAACAGAAAATCCACCTCTCCCAAGGACTTCTGAGACTTCATACTCCTCTGAGAGTATTCTGGTTTCATACCCCATGGTAGTGTGGTGCACACAAAGTCTTGGAAACTAAGGAATCTTGAAGACTCAGAAAATAAGCAGGGACAAGGAACTGGGAAAGGAATTGGTTTGTAAAAAACTTGTTGACTCAATGATAGGAGGAGCCTTCAAAACGCGTGTTGAAGCGGTTGAGAGTGACATCATAACCTGTAAGAGTTTGTGCATTAGTTTATGGCATAAAATATGAAACAATTTGGGATAGTTACTAGAGAAAAAAACAATGTGGCTGGTAGAAGGTGTTTTAGAAGGGACAAAGAGAGAGTCAACTGCTAGCACCATGTTCTATGTTTAACGTTTCAGTGTTCACCATTCTGCCACATTGAGATTAAAACTGTGTCAATATCAACAGTAAAACGAAAGAAAAAACCTAGGAAGATTCACTTGGATTTTATCTCAACACTTTCTTTAAACTAATCCATATCATGATATTAACTATTTTCTTTTCTTTTTTTAATAATTTTAAGATTGAAATATGTTCTTAATCCTTATAACTTTTTAAAGTTTTTGTATTTAGTCGTTAATAAAAAAATTAGTGTTTAATCTCTACTTTGTGTTAGCTCTTTTAAATTAATCCTTCCCTTTTTAGTTCTTCAAATATTTTTATCATATCAATCAATTTATTTTTCATGTAGTGGCATGTCATATATATTGTAAATGAGTATTGTTATAAGTACAATACAAAGGATAATCGTTTATTTTGTAGAATTAATTATTAAAATAAATAATTATATATATATATACTATATTAATTAAAAATTATCATAAATAAATACTTTTAAGTATATAAATTTTATTTAAAATTCATGATAAATAATTATTGTGCTATGCTACTTTCAGCTACTAATAATTTATTTTTTAAAATATTAAATTTAATTTAAAAATAAAGATAAAAAAAGATAGATTCAGAGAAAAATCTCTAAAATCATTCTTCTTGAATAAAAAATATCAAAAACTACTTTTATTAAATAATAGTTTCTAAAAGTACTTTCATTTATTCCACTTTTTATAGAGAAATATTTAATGAGGCCAATTTATCTCTTAAACGGTTGCTCTAACAAGAGAAAAAATATTTTCAAAAAATAAAAATTAAATATAGTTTTAGTCTTTGTAAAATTAAAAAAATTTAATTTTTATAATATTTTTCTTTACTTTTATGTATATATAATTTGAATGTTTTTTTAGTCTTAATAGAATATGTGAATTTCGATTTTAATTACGGTAAAATATTTTTGTTTAATTCTTATCGCTCTAAAATTTTAAATAACTATATTTAATCCTTTTTATTATTTAAAGATAGATAAATAATTTTATTTAATTAAGATTTTTTTATTTTAAGTATCACATGACGAATATTACAATATTATAATTCGTGACTTGATAATTTGATTTTTTTTTATAACACATTATAATATATTAGTGTAGTATACGATAAAATTTACTTATTTTATATCAAGTAAAAACAAATTAAAAACATAAGGAAATTCATTACTTCTAAAATTCCCCTGAAAACTTCATTAGAAATAATCAAACCCTTCAACATAAATATAACTTTGTGGAGCCTTAATACGATCCTTTCTCTTTTCTTTTCTTTTTTTCTTAATATAAGATTAAAATTTTCAAAATTTTAAGTGATTATTTGTAGGGATTTAATAAGAATTCATGAAAAAATATATTCAATTATACATAAGACATTTATATATTTATGTATATATATTTGAGATGAAACAATTAATAGTTTAGCGTCAATTTAATGCAAGAAATTATCTTAAAAAGGTAAATTTAAATATTAATGTAAATAAAATAAAAATCAAAACATTTATGTAAAAGTGAAACAAGCTTCGAAGATCAATTAAGAAAAAATTGAAGTCTGAAAAATAAAACAATCAGAACAAAACCAAGGATTAGAAGAGTAAGGTTAAAAACTTTTTTTCAAAATTTTAATATGATTAATATAATATAAAGTAAGTAAAATTCAAACAAGACATTGTAGGAAGAAGTGTTCATTACACGTTAATGGCATTATTCTTATGATTGGGATTCGTCTGACACCAAAAGTATGCTTCTTATTACCCCCTTTGTTCAGGAAAAGAAATAAGAATTGTTAATTTGTTGAGCATATTCTTGCCATCATCCAAAAGGCTAAATGGTGCCTCAGGCTTTCGTCACATCTGCCAAGTAAAAGCCACCTTTTGCTTTGAAAAAGCACGTTTGCACAATACCCTTTGTAAATTCAAAACCACCTTTTGAGTGAAAAGGAAAGCTGCCATAATTCCTTTGTAAAATCAACGCCATCTTTGTTGTTCATTAATTTTCTCTTTAACATGTCATGTTTAATCATTTAACTATCATCTGTTCATAATTTTTACAAATGCTACTATTCAAACGCACAATTTTGAAACAAAAAAAAAAGTTAGGACATACTGAACCCGTGATTATCTCAGATGATTAGTACTTTGATTATGATATATCTGCAGTGTATATATTACCCATAAACCCTATTTTTCCATTACTTAGAAAAATGGCTGATATGTCATCCCTAAGATGCCAAAGTAACTCATCAAGCCATGATTATGGCACATATTGTGAATGGTAGAACTACAACATTACCCATAATTTTTTTTTTTTCTAAAGAACTCAAAGATAAAACTTGATAACAATTGAAAACATGCCATTGGATGCAAATGTTCCACATAACTACTCCTGACATACCAGGAATCAACCTCCACAGTAACCAACAAGGAGGATTTCCTGGTACTCATATTTACAAACCTCTACAACTAGGTACAGATCTCAGAATGGAGCTGATCCTATTCGGCGAAGTTGATACTTTGGTTCAGGAGGTGGTGTACATGGCAACAGCTTCTCTAGCTCCTGCAAGTTGAGGAAAGTTGAGGAGCAAAATTATAAACAAGTCAGTCTAATATTGAAGAAATAAGAAAGTAAGCATGTACCCTGTATAATGAATGAGCACTGAAAAAATGTTGGTTCTCATGATATTATCAAGTAAAAAATGATCATGTCAATAATGAGCAAGGAATGTAAAACTTGTAAATCAAAGTCTAACTCACTGTCCCCAAAAGAAAAATCCAGGATGCAGCAGAAAATTCAAGGCAGAGTTGAAGATATGGAATACAGTGCATGAAAGTAATATTTATGTTTGGTGAAAAGTAATTATGCTCTCTAGATAGCTAAAACATCACAGTTCATTGGTATTAAGGGAGAAATTTTGTAAAAGAATAACTGAAGTACCTTCTTGGGGATAAGAAAAATCCAAGAGTTATGTCAGACTTTCACATGTTAATATCTGTTTATTAATCATAAATTAAACCCAAATATTTTTTTGAATAAATCTTATATCACTGTACAGCTAGCAATGACAGCATGAGAGATGCATCCTAATAAATGTCATCGTCACTCATCAATGCTGTTTTGGTAATGACTCGACCAATTTGTTTGATGTTACAATGCAAGATTTGATTGTGATTGATCTCTCAACTATACGAAGCTTAGAAACCCTTTTCTAACATTCTTCCTCCATTTTCCTTTCTAAAATAAGCCAACTTTTATTATAATGCTTACCATCTCCTCAAGCACTGAAAATTTCCAAAAGCATCATAATCATCATAAAGACACATCAAAACACAGTACATCCACAATGGATTTAACCAAAAACCAAAAGAGGAAAAAAACGATATAGGTATATAATCCAATCTTTCAAAGGTTTAAAACTTGGCAGTGTAAAGAATATAAAGGACATCATACTGATAAGAGTGCAATGCTATTCTATTTCAATATACCAGAATAAATTATGATAGTCCAAAGGAACCCCCCAGCTTCCATAAATCAAGTGATACAAACCCACAGAGATTGCTCAATGATTTGTGTACAGGAGAGTGTGACTGACCAAAGCCTATACATGACGAAATAGTTTAATTTAGTGCGAAAATGAATGCATTTTTGCTAATTCTGGCTTGCTCCAGAAGTATAAGGACAAATTATTACAACACTAGACTGCTGATAGTCAATAAAAACTCTACGGAGAAATATGACAGTGGTATAAACATGGTGCATCGCACTCCACATAACTAAGTTGCTTCCACAAAAATCGTAGGACACAACAATAATGCAAAAGCAGGAAGGAAAGAAGTGGCCTTTGACTTAACGATAATAGGGAAAAGAAAATATTTAACAATCACATCACATGATTGTATAATCCTGCCATTAAAAATATTAATGTTAAAAATTATCAAAATGTGGATTCCATCCAGTTATACAGATCTACTTTGCAGAATCTTTTGGAAGGGGCTGAGAGTAAGAAATGTATTAAAAATGATTGAAGTGCATCTGCACATTTGAAAAAAAAGAATAGAAATGAACAAATAAATGAAAAATATATGAAAGAAAAATTAAACTTTCCCATAATTACCTCAAAAGATAAAGGACTGGTATTAAAATAAAGGAGCAACCAAAGAAAAAGGACTAGTATCAAATATGGATGAAAGCTTCTTTCCCAGATCCCTTATTTAGAATTTTTATTAAATCTCGTTTTCAACCAGCACACGAATGAGAAGTTTGTGAAGATTAAATCGCTAGTTGCAAGCTACCATAATCATATAGTTAAAAAACTGCAAACTCATGAAGCAAAGAAGCTGTTAATGGCTTTGAAAATCTGATTTAACTCATAAGTCACATAAGAAACAAACTACTGCATGGAAGGTTGAAAGGTTGAGGAAAATATTTTATGGTCGGCATAAATTTCTTAATACTTGTTAATCATTAATGAATCATAATATGCAGAGTTTCCTGTCTCTGGATCATGCATCAAATAATAATTGAAACTAAGATTGCCTAGTCTCTTATCTTAGCCTGAAAATACACTCTGCAAAAAGAGAAACCAAGGACCGAAGGTATATTGGGGAATTTGAATTAACAGCGAAACAGTCAAGGCAAACTACCTTTCGTTTCCTCAGCATTTCATTTTCCTCTTCCAGACGCGAGACTTTATTCTCCAATTCATTTGTGTAAGCCTGTTTATAACATTTATGATTCAGGATGAAGGTTTTTACTAAGGAAAAAATGGATAAGAATTTACTTAACATGACGTGTAAAATAAAGAAAAAGAAAAGCACCTGTTTCCTTGCTCTTGAACGGGCAGCAGATTCTCGATTTTTAATCATCCTTTTCTGTCTCCTCTCAACAGTCTTCTCCATCATGTCTTCAGGAGTGTTCCTTTTTCTTCCAGGAGTCTGCGTATCTGACACTGTTCCCATCAGAGGGGATGGCAATGCCACCTGATTATCTGCAAACGAAACATCCAATGAAGCTCCAGCTCCCAAGTGTAATGGTTGTGCCAGACCCTGGCCAGGCATATAAATCTGCATTAAACTTTGTTGTGGATGCTGATATTGTGCTTGTGGATATTGTATCCATTGTCCTTGAGAAGGAAACTGAGGTACTGTCATGCTTGAATCAACCCCAGCAACAGTACCAGTATTCTTTCGATTAGAAGCTGCTTCTGCAACAACTCCAGCTTTCACCAAGAAGTCCTCCAATGTCATTTCTCCTAAAGTAGGCTGTCTGTCTCGGAACCTCTTCTCCTCAATGATTTTGTTTTGTTGAATATCTTTCCAAACCTCATCCACGGTCTTCTTGCTTAGTGCACCAGTTAGCGACAGACTAGCCTGACGCTGCAGAACAGCTTGACTAGCCTGTGCTGTGCCCTCATTGTCCATACCAATGGTCTGGTTTGCCTCCACGGTCCACACATTTTTTAGAAGCTCATCCAGATTCATACTACTTAGCGGCTTCCCCAAATCGCCCAATTGATTCTGAACCTCATCAAGTGTGAGACTGTACATTGAGTTTTGTCGCACCAAAGGCTGGCCTTGTGACTGTTTTCCATTACTATCTCCATCACCTCCTTGAGAGCCCATCGTTTGGGTCCCCATTTACCAATTATAACTGTTAGTAATTGAGTTCACATCTCACACTCAACTCTTTCAACACTTTAAGACTGAAAGCAATTAATCCAAATCTTCGATCCTGCCCCAGAAAATCAGAAGCTGATAAATAAAAGAAATAAAAATCACCATTTTCCATAAGCTTTTAGAACCATAAAAATCTGCATGCCTTACATGCATCCCAACATACTAAAGATGGTAGCAAAGCAAGAAAAATTCAAAACTTTTTGTCAAACATGATATCATGTACATGCAGCTGGCAGAGTTGCAATTTCCTATGAGAAAAATAATTTTAAATACACAACGCATGACTCAAACCAGTCAAAGGAGAGAAAATGAGAGATCTTGTAATTTAGCAGCAGGATGCAGGGTAGATTTCATTTCCTTTAAGAATTAACCAAACAAACCTGAAAACCGTGAAAGTTTTGTTAGTCTGTTTCACGGAATCATCCACAGTACATAATATATTGAGAGAAAAAATGGTAACCTAAAGACAAAAATGTAATCGAGGTCATAAATGAACTTGAAAATTGAAACAGAGGATAAACTCTAAAAGGGCAAGCATTTAAAACCAAGTGAAAATGTCAACTAAAATCCAATGAAGCACTGGTAAACTCAAGCAAATAAAAACATGAAACCTTGCAGGTACCCTTCTTAGGACAAATAAAAATAACATTTCATATTACTTCAAAATGTTATTAGAACATTGATCCCTTGCATGCAAGCTCGGAGAAACAGTCACCCAAGTAAAATTTCCTATAAAACCCAAAACCCCATATTGAAAACACACAAATGCCCTTTAAAACTTCAGCATTAAAATACCAGGGCCCATTTTTCCACAAGTATTAGACATAGAGCATCAAAATTGAAAAATGCATAAATTCATCACAAGAGATCAATTCAGAGACCGAAGAGAACGAAAAAAACACCGAGAATTCAAAATCAAATCTTTCAATGAAGAACCTGAAAGAAAACCCGTTTGCATGCAACCAATTCAGTATCACTGTTGAAACACAAAAAGAAAAAGAAAAGTTTCCTTCAAAAAAGGGTGTGAGATCAAACCCACCACAAACCCAGTATTTGTTTTCCACATGCAGTGATACAAATCCAAAATTTGAAGAGAAAAACATCATGGAAAAGAAAGAGTGTGATGTAAGGAATAAAACCGCGTCAGAGAGAAGAGAATAACCTTTTTTTTTTCCTGCGTGTAAGAGAGAAACACCGATCTGAGAGAGGGGAGTGAGAGATTGAAAAAATGGGTTTTGGAGCGAAAATCAGGAGATGAAAGCTTTGAGAACACAAGTGTGTGTTTATATGCGTTCGTGCGTTGGTCGCAGAAAGACAATCCAAGGTGGGTTTGTGTGACTTGTGAAGGAAAGAGATGTGAGAAATAGAGAGAAGGAAAAGAAGCAGAGCCAAATGGCAACTTCTCAATTTCTATGCATAAAAAATATAAATGAATTTAATGTCATGAAAGAGCGTGTAATGACGCTTCTTTGTCATGGACAAAATTGTAAAACAAATTTATTACATCAAAAAATATAATTACAGTACATTATTATGTTCTTTCTTACCGTTACAGTTGTAATCATAATAAAAAAAATGCATATTAACAATTTTTTTTCAATTAAAATTTATATTATCATCTAATCCAAACATTTATTGTTAGCCATCATAGGTAGTAAACTTCATTATATAATTATTTACTTAAAATATTTTTTATCGGTTAAAAATTTTGTTTTGATTAAAAGAAAACTTAATCAATTGTGTAGGATAAAATTTTTAAAAACCTTATAGAATTTTCAAAGGTTTTAATAAATAATTAGTGGTTTTCAATAACAATGAGTGATGAACACTAAATTTGATGTATAATGAGGTTAAGACTATTGATGATTTCTCTTTGTGATTAGTTAAGGAACTTAAAAATAATTAAATACAATGAAATATAATTATTTAATTTCTTATTTCAACTGGTATTTTTTATTTGTTAAATTGTTGGCTAGTATTTAAGACAAAAAAAAAATGTAAAAAGGGTCTTCATTAAAGTTAGTCTTGGAGATGATAATGTCTTCTGTATACAAAAGAAACACTCCATTAAAAGAATGAAGGAAGAAGAAAATTACTTATTTTCAATGCCTCTATTCAAAATTAATGCAACTATTTTAAAGCTCTAAACACATGATCAAATTTAGTTATTATGGTTTATTAATAATTAGTTATTTTAATTGACATAAATCAAGAAAATTAATTTTATTTTAATAATTTTCTATGCTTATCTTATCAATCATCATCAAAACAATTAACAACATTATATAGTCATGTTTCTATAAAAAAAATATTTGATTAAAATTACAATATATTTTATATTAATTTTTAAAAAAATTATTCCTTGCAACAAAGATAAGAAAGAATAATATGACCTTCCTTTATTTCACTTTTTTTTTAAATTGTGTAATTTTGAGAGAGAAAAAAAAGACATATAAAAAGAATATATATATATATATATATATATATATATATATATATATTAATCTTGTAACATATTTTTTTAAAATTTATTACTAAATCTTGAATATAAGGTATATTATTTTTAAGGGTCTTGTGTTTCAAGAATAATGAAGATAGAGTTTGAGTATAATTGCATTAAAGATCAAAATTTATCTATTTTTCAAGATTTACAAAATAATAAAAAAATAAAAAAATAATAATAATTTAAATTATTATTATTATTATTATTATCTCATTTATCTTTTTATTTCTGAATCTTTAAATTATTTATTTATTAATTTATTTATCAAAGTAAAATTATTTATTATTCATATGTAGATTTTCTATTTTCTTATTTTTTTATTTTTAAATTTCCCTATCTCATTCACTCCTTATTTTTCTGTTTTATATCTTAAGTCTGTTATTTTTTCTCTCTCACACTTATTTTTATAATTAAATTATTATATTAAAATTTAATAAAAATATGCAAAATAAATATTTTAAAAAACTAAAGCAATATTAAATAATTATTTAAAATTATAATGACAATAAATAATTTTATTTATTTTGACGATAAATGTATTTTTCAATTAAAAAATATCAAATATTTATAAGATAAATGTATTTTTTATTTCATAATTTAATCTAGTTATAATTAAATTGAATTATGATACTTAGTTAGATTATGTAATTTAAAAAAAATATTTATCAAAAAATTACTGAAAAATAAATTTTTAATTTTTTTTATTAATTATAACATAATAATAATATTTGTAACATTTCAAATCTATCATATAATATTTTTTAAATATAATATATTATAATATTTATGGATCATTTAAATATTTTTATTTTTCAATAATAATAAAATACTCACTTTACCCAATTTTAATTTATTATTTTTAATTGAAGAATAAGATGGAAGAAGAGGATAAAAAAAGAAGGATGAGAGAAAAAAAAATAGATGAAAAGAGAGAAAAAAAACTGTATTATATCAGACAAAATTATTTTCCCTTATTAAATTTTGTATATCTATCAATAATAAATATGTGTAGTTGTAACTGAACTTAAATAAATTTTATTTAAACAATATTTTTTTAAATATATTATTTACGAAGTTGATTCTTGTTTCTTTGTGAGATTTAGAGGAAAGTGAACGAATAATGTTTTTTTTTTTAATATTTTTCATTTTGCAATTGAATGAGTTAGAGGATTATTTTTTCATAATTCGCTTATGAAACATAATATATTATACATTAATTATGTAAAAGATATACTAAATGATTAATAATTTTATTTTTTTATTCTAATAAAAATGTTTTTAAACATAATATTAAAACAATAAATAAAACTATTTTATTTTTGACTTAAAAATGACTTTTTAAGTATTCCAACTTGTATACATTAATCGTGAGGTAGAGTAATAATGTAATTTATTACAAACTACTATTTTATTTCTTACAAAAATATACATATATTTCTATATTTAATATCAAAATTTTAGAGATGATAATTTTATAGACTTAAAGAAGGAAAAAATGAAATTGAAGAATGGTTTTACTTTAATTTTAATGGAAGAAAAGCGTTGGCACAGAGAGGAGAGAGAGAGGGAGAGCATTCAGAGAATCGAAATCCCCGACTGACTTCACTTTTGTCCTTCCCTGTCCACCTCACTCACTCACTCTCTCACTCTCTTCGCCCTACCATTGCATGTGCAGGCAGTTATAATACAAGCCTACTCTTTCCCTACACCTTCCATGCCTACAATCACATCACATTTAAACAATCTTAATATAATTATTTATAACTTTTCACTCTGTATTTTTCACTGCTGTGCAATGAATGTAACCCTGGCATGGAGTTGTTGAGGTAACGGTGGTGAAAGGAAATTGGTTTTAATCATAGTATTGTATTCGTATCTGCCTAGTGGGCAAATTTAGTGTACTCCAAATATATCCAAAGTTTGTTGCCATTGTCAAAAGGACTTCATCATATGAAAAGATTCCACTTGATACCCTTTAGACTGCCTTATTATTAGTACGAATTTCACTTTACTTTTGCTTTAATTAATATAATAGTGAAGAGTGAGTACAAAGGGATTTTTCTCCTTTAAACATGAAAATCTTGTAGTTTACTAAAATGGAAACATGCCTAAAATTGACATGATAACTATTGAGTTTGACCACTGAAATTGATAGCCACATGCTGTTATCAGTAAATGGTATTGGTAAGGTAATCCACATTTGGAATTTCCCATTATACAACCTTCAAGTCTCAAAAACAACGTTGGAGTTAGGACATGGTCCAAACTCAGTGAATTGGCTAGTGTTTCCTTTGTTTCAAGCAACCACTTCTTATATTATACTTCAAGACTATTATTACTTGCATTTTTTGCAACCCTGCGACCCATACCACTAACAGAGACACAACAAGAACAAAAACTTAATTGTGTTATGTATAAATTGAGGAGGATAGTTTATTCAGCCAACATAGTAAGATCTAAGAAATAGTAACCAAGTGGAGATTCAAGATGAATTTGAAATCCTTTCCTCAGCTTTTCTTTATGTTGTTTTTTATGGGCTTTTCCCACATCCAAATTTGCTTGGGAGACTGTGATAACCTACAGGATACTTGTCCAGCAGTTCCACCTAATAAGCAGACCATATTTATCAATGGTCTACAGTGCAAAAACCCAGTTAATGTAACAGCTCAAGATTTCAGGACCACTGAACTGAGCAATGCTGGCTCTAAAGACATTTTTGGTGCATCTATGAAAATTGTGAGTGCTGCTGAGTTTAGTGGTCTGAATACTCTTGGTCTCTCCATTGGAAGAACTGATCTTGATGGGAATGGCCTGGTAAACTTCCACTATCATCCTAGAGCTACTGAGATGATCTTTGTTACCAAAGGTGTGTTGCTGGCTGGATTTGTTGATACCAAAAACCAGTATTTCCAGAAGATTATTAAAGTAGGTGATGTATTTGTGTTCCCCAAGGCTTTGTTCCACTTCTATCTAAATACTGGTTTTGACGAAGCCACTATCTTCTCAGTGTACAACAGCCAAAATCCTGGCTTTGTATCCCTCAGCCCTACAACTTTCGACACAACATTGGAATCATTAGACATGATCAAGAGGAAACTGATCTCACTCTCTGCCTCTGAGGCTCAAGATGTATACAGTTTCATCTCTCCAGAAATGGATAGCATTTACAGTTAGCCATTTCAAACTATACTCTATTGACTTCCACAATATTAGTTCAATTACATGTTACCGCGTGTTTTGTTTGGTTATTGATTGTACTCCCAAGTTATGTTATACATCATTATTACTTGTGTCTCATATCTACAACCGTTTCAACCTTATTTTTCAACATTATTTTTGTATTATTGAATACATTACAACAACTCACACTGATAAAGTTTACAAAGATAAAGTTTCATTGGTTCTATTTTCTAATCTATATGCATTTTAGCAATTACTACTATAATAAATCATCATGAGTGGGATATTAAACCAAGGTATTGTAGTTCAAATATGAAACAGCCCGATGGTAGTAGAGCAAAACAAAAGCAACATAAAAAGAGTCCCCTTTTTTAGTTCAGGTGTGAGAACTAAAACCTTTATTCTTCATGTATTTTACATGAATTATGCGGTTTGGCCTCTTTTAAAATCATTGACTCTTTTTCTTATAAGTGTTTACCAACTAACCAGGACTCATACTACGACAGTTACAATAACTTTTTAACAACTTGTCATGTCCAACTGAAATATACAAATGCAATCAATTTGTGTTAGATGGTCACAATATAGAACATATAATACCAATAATATCACATTAAGCAACTAAATTTCTGCCTAATGTACTAACTTCTCTCCGGATATACAAATGGGTAACACTGATATTTTGGTATTTTAAAAAAGCACAGAAAAAATAAGTCAATGTTTGAACTCATTTGAAAACACTTGCCACAACATAAGATAAATTCAGTTACTTGCGTTCCAGGTTATTCAATTTCATAGCTAAGATTGATTGTATCAATGCAGATGTTTACAATGGAATCAACATTTTTGTTTTACAAAAAGAGCAAGGTATTCGCTCCTTCATATATTGAATTCCACTAAATTTCTGTAAAGATAACAAATGAAATAAGTACACAATTCGCACTAATTAAAGTATATATATTTTGCAAATTATTTCAATTAACATGTCAGTAAATAGTATATGTACATAACATGTAACTGAAAGAAAAAGAATATCAAAGCCAAAATCCTAAAAGAGACAAGATTCACGAAATGATCTATCCTCCACAATGAACTGAGAACTTCATGTTGAAAGGGCTTCAAATTCTAAAGATGGTACAATGTAAAAAATTAAAAAATAAATTATTACACTAGCATGACTGTGAAAGTGACGGGAAATTGATGAAATTGAAAAGTTAGGGAAAATGAATTCCACTTCCCAAGTAAAATTTACCACTACCTCATCCCACGTGATCACCTAAACTTATTGCCAGGTATAAAAGCTGAAAAAAACATACACGGCACAATTGCGTCTTTCCTCCACTTTATCTCCAACTACCAACCTTGTTCATATAGCTACAGAAAAAGCTGTTCTCTCATCAAGGAAGGAAGTATGCTGACCTTTTAGTAGATGCTGCAACTTCAGAGGCATGAGGCAACAGAACTAGAAATTTAGAGATTCAAAAACTTGCAGAATATTTTGGAAAGAATTCCAGTTTACATCCGTCAGACTAGATAGAATCTAGATCAAACTTTATGACTACTGGTACCGACCAAATTGGTCATCTTAATCGTGACAGTCTTTTTCGTTTCCGATTCTTCTTATGCACAACTACACTTTTTGTGCTACTGCTACCATGAGGAAGAGCCAAACTTGATGATGGTTTGCCAATGTAGGTTCTGCCTTTCTTAGAAACCCATTTCAGAGGCATATTGTTAACTACAGTGCCAATATCAGTAGAGTTATTCAGTTCAACAAGTTTTTGGATTTGATCTAGCATCTGATGGGTGCACGCCAATGACAGATCCAATGCAAACGAATCATCCACTGGTTTTCTCCATAAATCCATTAAAACCTCTTCAAAAGACCGAAAAGACATGGATGGTTGATAACCTTTAAGATTTTCACAAATCATGTTTACTTTGACAACATGCTTGCAAAGGTTACCTTGCATTGACCAAGAACAATCACAGAATGCGAATTCAGATCCTGGATTCCACACTAGATGAGTTAGGCTACTATCTCTCTGGCTCACAACCTTGGCAAAGAGGTGTTCTCTATCATCCAAGGTAACAGCATAGTCTGGAATTAAAAGTGCTCGATGCCATGATGTAGAAAGAATATATTTTTCCTTCACATTCTGGAAAGAATCACTTTCATCAGCATAGCGGTCAAGCCAGTAGCTGGAATGCAACTCAGTTGTTAACTTGTGAACTAACCAATCTACTCTTTGCAGGGCTCCAAGATGTGAGTCATCAAAAAGTTTGGCTTTCAGTTTAACATGATAGGCTTCCAATGCTCCAGAAGATTCCTGGCTGGCTAGTTGAAAATTTCTCATTGTTGAAAGCCACATTTCTGCAGAACAGAACAGAACAGAAGGGTAAGGGGAAAGCAAGTTAATTTATCAATGACTGACCAAGCCCTTAACTCCCTGAAGTGAATTATGAAGGAACATTTCATTCACAATATCAGTCTTTCAAACATACTTGTGAATATGTCATCAGTCAAACCAGAGATTTTATGTGCATGTGTTTGTGCGTGTGTGTGTGTGTGTGAGAGAGAGAGAGAGAGAGAGAGAGATAGAAGGAGAAAGATCTAACCAAGCTTGGGCAACCAGGAGGTTTTGAAGTAATCCATGAAAGCAGTTTGGTCAACAAAATCCAACATGAATTGTTCCAAGGCATGCGATGTATTAGTACCTCCCCAAATACTGTACACTATTGTACCAAGGCGCTTAAAAACCTCCCGCTGAACCTCAACATTACAGCATTTCTTAACAATATTCCTAAGCCATGATCTACGTACACGCCATAGTGAAAATAGGACAGGGCAACAAAATATATCTCTGTAAAAGCAATTAATAGAAGTAAGAACTTTAATCACCAATGTAGAATACTAAACCAAACTCATTTCTAAGCAAAAAATCTTGCCTCAAGAGATCAATTTCGGCAGCAGCATCATCAATTAAAAATCCACTAACTTTCCATCCAGGCTCAACACTACGAGCTCGATCAATCAAAGCCTTCAGCCACTTGGACACATCAGGTTTTGCAAAGCTACGTGTAATGACCCATGCAACAGGAAGTGCATGTTGTCTTGAATCAAAAACAAGTAGTGTGAACAAGGGATACTGCAAATATGAAAAGATAACTAAGTTAGGTTGACTGAAAATATATTGCAACGAGAATAAGAAAACTGCATTTGTTTAGATCTAGCATAAGTTAAGAGTGATGAATGGAGAAACAAAATTACTTTAAGTCTCTTTACGCCAAAACTAGAGTCTGTTGCAACAACACTTCGATGACCAAAGCGAATCATTTGTTGCAGCTGCCATTCTGTTTGGATCCCCAAGATGAAAGGGTCAGACTCTGAAGTATCCTGGTGAAAAAATACAGACTTTCTGTTGCGTTCGATCCACATGCGGATGCTAGCTTGATCATCTAGGTCCAGCTCATGGGTAGACCTTTTGATAATCATCCCTAACTTATGAACATACTGAGAAGCAAGGCTACTGACTTTTGCATCTGAACCACAATATCGCTGAATTCCTTCTATGTGTTTCTCCAAGATATTCTCTTCTGGAATGCCCAAATATATCATGGACATAGTTTGCTGCTGAATTTCATTGCATATATATGGAATCCTTTTAGCACCAGGACCAATGGCATCTCTATCAAGTGGTCCATGGCAGATAAAACCAGACTTGTTAATATGACGCCTCTCATTGTATATAATAAGTGCAAGAGATGGACGGGCATAAAGACGTTTGACAACAAAATGACAGGTACAACCTCGCATCGATTGAGGTCTTGCAGCACGATTTCGAGTGTTAAGTCGATACCTTCGACTTGGTAATATACCTCCTCCTTCCCCATAGTTTTCTGGGCCAAACGAGCACCAGTACCTTCGCAAAGAGAAATATTCAACTACACAACATGAGTATTGGAATCCTCACACTTCAGGTTTTAAATTATTCATCTCCTCGTCTATCGCTGCTTCCAAAATTCAGATAGCAACAGGAAACTATTTGAACTTACGAACAAATTTAAAATAAAGGAACCTAACAAGGACCAAATTTTCTACAACGGAGGTATAATTTCACACTTCCAAGTTCCTGTGTTTTATCAAAACATAAACTAAAAACAGCACAAGCAAGAGAACGCTAAACATGTATTACAAACGGCAAAAGAGGAAGAAACTGTCTAAAAGCTTTATCATAATCATTTTGAATGACATAATAGGCATGGCAGAAACTTACAGCCTGTACTCCAGATATTCATCATCCTTGTACTCCTTCAAGCTTCCAATAGTCCGTTTCCTTCCTCTCTCGATATGAAACCGAGTGGGGCACTCCACATTGGAGCATTCACCAATTATAAAAGCATCAACTCTATCATAGGGAATGAGGGCAACCACATCATGGTGCTCAGCAGTGCCAAACTTGGTCCAAGTCAAGTCAGAGGCACTAAACTCCTCCTCAGGTGGGTCTTGCAAAGGAATCTTCCCCACTGATTCAACTATAGCCATATCCACAAAGACAAAAAAAAAAAAAAAACGAAAAACCTTCCTTGCTATAAACACAGAACAATCTACAAGTCTATCCGGAAACAATCACATGTTCAAATAGACAAATGTTCAAGCACGGAACAGAACACCCTGAAACAACATCAAGAAAAGACCCTGTTGAGATAAATAGCTGAAGACTTAATTTTGATAAGTTTTATGTCTTATGAGCAACAAAAGCTAAACAATTCAATCAAAAGAAGGAGCAAAATAAGGAAAAAAAAATAAAAAGGTGAAGACAAGAATTGAAGGTTATACCTACCTTTGGCTTCAAAAATTCGGGAGAAGAAGATTGAGTTGCAGTGCAAGAGAATAGTGGCGCAAAGTTACGAGGAATATGAAGAAGCATAAGAGTGATGTTCCTGTGGGTTTGGGATGAAATGGGTCGAGTGAGAAGTGATGAATGACCAAGGATATTAAAAACGACACCGCACAAGCTATTCTTTATTTTTCCATAAAAAGAAAAATACAACCCTTAGGTTAGGTCAGGCTTATTTATTAGCCTAGCGCAAGTTCATGTCATGTTAAATTTATAATTTTAATATATTTTTAAATTTTATTATGAATATATATATATATATATATATATATATATATATATAATATCTTTTGAATATTAATATAAATTCAAATAAATTATATTTATATATCCTATATTATTTTGATTTATAAAAATGCGCGTTTTATTGATATTTTTTATTGAGTAGAACTATATAAATGCAATTTGTGACAATGTATTTTTCTAAAATAATTTTGTTGGAAAGAAAAAATTAATCCATGAATATATATTTTTGGTTATATATATATATATATATATATATATATATATATATATATATATATATATATATTCTGTGAAATTCAAAAAAGATGAAGAATCTCAGAACAAATCTTGCATCTAAAATGATTTTTATTCTCTTTGGGTTTGATGGTTGAATAAGAAAAATAAATAATTACATAATTAGGGATATAAACTCTAGAAAAAATTAATTTAAATATTATTTTTTATTAACAAATATATATATATATATATATATATAATAACTTTATATATTTATTTTATAATCTATTTTTACATATAAATTTTTACTTTTTAACAATATAATATTAAATATAAAATATATAATGATTAGTTTTTTTTTTAAATTGTATAAATAAAAAGACTTTATTTATAATTAAATATAGTTAAAGTTTATTATATATCACGACTTTAATTAGAAAGGAAAAATAAAATTACGTAACACGACTTTTTTTAATATAAGGTTATGTAACGTAATAAAACTTGACTTAAAAATATAAAAAATAATTCATTTATATAAAATTGAAACATTTTTTTACCTTGTTTAGTAAAAAAAAAAAACAACATATAATTCATCATATGGTAAATGTCAATAGACTAAATATTTTAAAAATTGGTGTGTTAATAGAGTTTGGGCCCGTTGGAGCCCAAATTCTAATTATTGGTAGTGGGTCGAATAGGTTCATAAAGGAAGACTGAGCTAAATCATTATCTAATGGGCCTGAGCCTACCGGGGTATTTAGAATTATGCGGTATCGGGGCCGATAATAGGGGAAACAATAAAAACTAATTACACGGTTGAAGGAGAAAAAAAGATAAAAAGGGGGTAGGTTAGGAAAAGGATCATTTCACTTTTATTTCAGAACATTGGCGCCCACTGTCGGGCAGGTAAAACTATTCCTACCCCAGAGGAAATAGAGAGCACGACCATGGTGACTCGTACCAGTAATCGCAATAATCAAGATCCTAATGGGGTTTACTCAAACAACTCGGCAATGCAACTAATTCTTGAACAAATGGAGGAATTGCGCCGAATGACTGAAGAAGCACAGCGTATGGCAACAGAAGCATCTCAGGTGCAGGATGAATTGCGACGACAGAATGAGGAGTTGCAAGCAGCCATCAGGCAACAGGTCCGATCTACCTCAAGTGACGATGAAGAAGAAATATTGGAGAAAGATTTTCAGCCTTTCGTTCAGGCCATCATGGACGAGCCTCTGCCTTCACATTACATTACTCCTAAAATTGATCGATTTACGGGAACCCAAGACCCGTTAGCACATCTGAAGGCCTTCAGGGCCCAAATGATCATCAGCGGCGGGTCTGACGCCGTACGTTGTAAAATTTTTGTTGGTACCTTATGGGGAACTGCATTGGATTGGTTCAGTGGTCTCCCTGAACAGTCAATAGCTAGTTTCAATGACTTGGCTAAAGTTTTTGTGGCTCATTTTGCTGCTAATAAACAAAGAGCCCCTAAGACGAGTGATTTGTTTGATATGCGGCAAGGATGAAACGAATCCTTAAGGGCGTTCTTGCACCGATTTGGTAGCATGACCGTTAGGATCTTACCTCCCAATGAAACCATGTTTGTAGATGCTTTTATGAAAGGGTTAAGGTCGGACCCTTTCATGGAATCTTTATATAGGCATTCATGCAAAATAATGAAACAAGTTCGGGCCCAAGCCACATCTCATATTGAAGTGAAACAAACAATTTGCCGACGTCATGCGACCGAACAATTGGAGTTGCAGCAAGATAATGCAGTAAAACCCTCTCGGTCCCGAAATGCGCAAGGGTCGCATAGCCAAAGGAGTTACCACCCTTATGACAAATGCAGAATTCCTAATCCACAAATCATGGAGCATAATACCAGACAATACCAACAACCTAACCCACATGACGTGTCAAAGAAAGAATTATTGCAAGAAGCAATCACAACTAAACTCCTTGATTTCCTGTGAGTTACCCATAAACAGCTAGGTCTCAAACAACATGCGTGGTGTGAGTTTCATCGAGCTCGAGGACACGACACAGAAGAATGTCAAATGCTAAAATACCAAGTAGATCGATTAATTAAAGAGGGCAAGTTATCGATGTCCAGGATAAATCGACCATCCAACCCATCTCACCAGCCAGGAACATCCTTCAATAAGAGGGGAAAAGAATCATCTTGTTAAGAGGGTGAACATGAAAGAGTTGTACTCGGGGATTTCAATACCATAGCTGAGGGGTTTGTGGGAGGAGGACCCACCTCTTCTTCCAGAAAGAGATATGCTCGAAAAATCTTTACAACGACAACAATATCTCGATCCCCACCTACTCCAGCTATTACTTTCACTGATTAAGATTTGTTAGATGTCATTCCCCACGAAGATGACCCTATTGTCATCTCCATAATCATGAGAGGATGAAATGTTCACAGAATTTTGGTAGATCAAGGTAGTTCAGCGGACGTTTTATATTGGGACGCTTTTGTAAGACTTCAAATTCCCTCGGACCTCCTACGACCATTTTCAGGAGTCCTAGTGGGATTCACGGGAGAGCAAGTGGAAGTTAGGGGATATGTGGAGTTACGTGTTACATTTGGTGAAGAGAGATATTAAAACACGATTATGATAAAATTCCTAGTCATTAATGCAGTCTTATCTTACAACATGTTGCTAGGAAGACCTTCGTTGAACAAGTTGGGAGCCATTGTATCAACTAAACATATGAAAATTAAATATCCCTTTGCCGATGGTAAAGTAGGAATTATAAGGGTTAATCAGAAGACTGCTCGAAAGTGTTATGAAGGAAGTCTTCGACAAAGGAGGATGTTTTCGTCGGGTCCGAATAACTCAGAAGTTCACATGTTGGATTTGGACCCACGTGCATTCGAGGATCGTCGACCTCAGCCGGCGGAAGATTTGAAAAAGATCTTAATTGATGATAACAAGTATATACAAATCGATACCAACATGGATGAAGAGGTGGAAGCACAAGTTGTGAGAGTTCTAAGAAAAAACAAGACAACATTTGCATGGTCTACGTCAGATATGCCGGGAATCGACCCCGATTTCCTGTGTCATCGTTTGGCTCTAGACCCCAAGGCTAGACAGTGATCCAAAGGCGACGTAAGATGGGGGCTGAAAAGCACACAACTGTAACTGAAGAAATTACCAAACTATTGGCTGCGGAACATATTCGGGAAGTACAATACCCAGAGTGGTTGGCTAACGTGGTCATGGTTCGGAAACTGTCAGGAAAGTAGCGTATGTGTACCGATTTTACTGATCTTAATAAAGCATGTCCCAAAGATTCATATCCATTGCCGCACATTGATGTGCTTATAGATGCTGTAACAGGTAACGAGCTTCTAAGCTTCATGGATGCGTACTCCGGGTACAATCAAATTCGTATGCATCCTACAGACGAGGAAAAGATTGCTTTTATGGCTGGGGCATCTAATTTTTGCTACGAAGTAATGCCTTTTGGGTTAAAGAATGCAGGGGCGACATATCAACGATTGATGGATAAAATATTACAACCTCATTTAGGCCGAATAGTGGAAGCATATGTAGATGATATGGTAGTTAAGTCTGTTAAAGCAACACAACATGCTGATGAATTGGAGCAGTCATTCCACACACTCAACAAATATAGTTTAAAGCTCAATCCTAAAAAATGTGCATTCGGGGTAAGGTCGGGGAAGTTTTTAGGCTTTATGATCACACAACGGGGCATTAAGGCAAATCCAGAAAAGTGTGCAGCCATCATTAACATGTGTAGTCCTAGCAATGTGAAAGAGGTCTAGCAGTTAACTAGACACTTGGCAGCTCTATCTCGATTTTTATCTGCAGCAAGGGAGAAAAATTTACCTTATTTCCAATGTCTCAAGACAACCCACAGATTTTCCTAGACGATGGAATGCGAGCAAGCGTTTCAAGCATTAAAAAAGACATTGACTAGTCCTCCAGTATTATCCAAACCAGTCATGAATCTACCACTATGTCTTTATTTGTCAGTAAGGGAAACGACCATAAGTGCAGTTTTGGTACAAGAAAAGGATGGTATACAACATCCAGTATATTTTGTAAGCAGGGTCCTACAAAGAGCAGAACAACGTTATCAGAAAATAGAGAAAGTTGCTTTGATCGTCGTATTCTCTGCTAGACGATTACGACCA